CAAGACAGGAAAGTAGCACTCTTGGTGGATAACTGTTCTACCCACCCACACATTGAAGAGCTAAGTAACATCAACCTAATATTTACCTAATATATCCAGCCTATGGATCAAGGCGTAATACGAAGTCTTAAAGCTCATTATCGTCACAAAATTGTGCGTTTGTGTGTCAAGGCTGTCGATAATAACGAACCCATGCCAAAAATTTCTATACTTCAAGCAATGAAAGATCTTGTTTCTTCGTGGAATGCTGTGTCGAAGGAGACTGTCATCAACTGCTTTAAAAAAGCTATTATCAGAAAAACAAACAAGAGTATTGAAGAGGCTGATGATGATCATCCTTTTAAATTTTTGACAGAAGAACTTAACCCTTTGCGAGAGTTAGATCCTCGTGCCGTCCAAGAAAATCTTATGTAATTAATAATAATTCCGCTTGGACGGAATGTAAGATTCCGTCCAAGCGGAATCTTACATTGGTTTAGATTGTGATGTAGTAACCACCGGTTCACTTGCTGCTGATGCTGAAATCATTGCTCAGATTTAAGACCCTAATTTTGAAAACGACGATAATGAAGTTGAAGATAGCGTTGACGAAGCTATTGACGTCGAAGCCTCGCCACGCCCATCTGATATTCAATAAGAAATTGCTTTTGAAGCGATTCAAAATGCTTCGCTATACAGCTCAAAATACGGAAATGAAATACAATCCCTAGCACTAAAACTTGAGGATTTAATGAAAATGGAAAAGATGGATAATTTAAAGCAATATCAGATAACAGATTTTTTCCAAAAGTTGTAGTTTTTGTTGTTAATGATTTTTGTCAGAAAAATAACTTGTTTTAATGAAAGTTGGGCATGTATATATATATATATATATATATATATATATATATATATATATATTATATATATATATATATATATATATATATATATATATACATATATATATATATATATATATACATATATACATATATATATATATATATATATATATATATATATATATATATATATATATATATATATATATATATATATATACATATATATATATATACATATATATATATATATATATATATATATATATATATATATATATATATATATATATATACATATATATATATATATATATATATATATATATATATATATATATATATATATATATATATATATGCCCCTCTCTGACGCCAGCAATTGGTAACCCCTCAGAAAACTTTTTCCCTCCAGGGTTTGATACTATTAAGCGGCCATTCCCTGGAGGGCTTTTCACACAAGGTTTTCCCACCGGTTTTAAAAAACTTGAGACATTTTTACGCAAGTAAATATTATCATTAAGCTTTGACCAAATAACTCTCCATGTATAAAGAGAGTGCGGTTAATAAAATTTTTTTTTCAATTAGAGGAAAAAAATGTATATGATATACAAAGTGATTTCTAATGTAAAAGACGTTGTTTGCCATTTATCTGAACTGTAAAAAAATAATACAAAAAATTGGTGGACTCCAGCCTTAAAATTTAAATAGAATTATGCTAAAAAAGGTAACTTTTTTAGGCATTTCAAGAGATTCAATTTCAATGTATGACAAAACTCATTTGTAAACCTTATTTGTAAAAATGACAAAGAAAAAAAGAGACCAATGATTTTAATTCGAAAAAGTAATAATGATATAATGAGTAATTATTATGCAGCTATTTTTCTTTTGAATGATTAGTGAAACAAAACAATGCTTTAATCGTGGTGATAAGTATTTAGAAAGGGTAAGAAAAAATAATCATATAAAAAATATAGTCTATCCTAAGAAAGCGGATGATGTACTTATTGCTAAGCAAATGGTAGAAGAAATAGTAAAATTTTTTCCATTAGATCATAAGCTTTTATTAAAAAGAGTAATAGTTCTTCCAAATCCAAAAGTTGTTAACATGGTTAAAGAGTATCAAGGATTGTCAAACGCAGAATTTTACTAAATATTGACAAAACAAAATTTAATGATAAAAAAGAACTTTGCTTAGTACAAGTTAAAACTAGATATAAACCAGCAAAAGTGAATGGAGAGAGAATTTCAAATCAAAATATTGAAAACTTTATTTAGAAGAGATGTAAGATTATTGCAATCGTTAATTTTGAGAATGCAGTAGAACACTTCTCGACTAGCATTCAAACTGAATTGGAAGGAATTAACGCGGTAAACATCCAGAAAAAATAGTAATGACAAAAGAAGATAAGGTATCAATTGCGGAAGTAACAGCCTGCTACATCTGCAATGAAGTTCTTAATAACAATAAAGTTCGCGACTATTGCCACATAACAGGGAAATACCGAGGCGCTACTTACAAG